TGCTCCAATAAAAAGACCGCCCTCCCTACACCCATAGTCTGTGTCCTGAGACCCAGAGTGACACATATCCATTCAACTCCCACACTTTATTGTGATAAGGAAGGAAGTAGACAAACCAACACTACAAGCCCACCCACCAGGGGTGTCCAGGCTCCAATTCAGCACTTAGCACAGCATGAGTACATCATAAATACAGGCAACAAAGGCTGGGAAGAGGTGGAGCAACTCCATACACAGGATACTACAGGCCCTGTAGGCTGGGGGCAAAGGCATGTACTTCACTGGCACAGTCCACTTAGATGATGGTAGAAGAGGGATAGAAGATTCCAATTTGCAGACAGGAAGGGAGATGCTCCCTTGTACGGATTGGAAGGGAGTTCCTTTTTAAATATTTGGGAGAACAGCTTTCACTTTACAGATGGGTGTGAAGGAAAGTAATGTTTATCTTAAATATCCAAGAAATGGATGAAGGAAGAAATGTTATTTTGCAGATGGAAAAATGTTTCTGGGATAGGCAGTTTACATGGATAGTATTCATGGACCATACCATTCCGAGGTGACAGGAGTCACACCGAAGAGGGAAAGAGTATCAGGGCTAGAGAACAAGGGAAGTGTATCCCACTGGCACCAGCCCCTCCACACCATCACGCCCACAGCGGAGCCAGTCTTCATCCACTGTAGCAATGACACGCAGCACTTCCCCACGCTGGAAGCTTAACTGGTCAGGTCCTGCAGCAGTATGGTCACAGAGAGCCCGAACTGCCCTGGGGAAAGCCAGAGGAAGATGGTAGGATGAGAGACATGGGGTGCCCAGCTGTCCCAAGGCCTCACCTCCCTGTTGGTTCAGCATTGTAACAATCACTGGACCCTGGAAGTGACTTGGGTCGCCAACGTGTCTCTAGAACCCTAGCCCCCTGAACCACAAACCCACTATGCAGGTGCTCATTTGAAACTCTGCAGTTCTCTCTTATGCTTCAAATTCCACATATGCAAATGAGATAATTTCTCTTAAGAAGCCAAGCCCTCCAGATAGTGATAAAGGGCATCAGTTTCCACTCCGTTGCTCCTGGCAAACTCAGCCATCACCTCACATCCAGTCCATCACCAAAGTTTACCTGGCCTGGCTTTTGTATCTTTCTCTTCAACTCTACTACCACTAGCCTAGGTTAGGCCTTTAGCCTCGCTCGCTCTCTGGAACACTGCATATAACCAACTTATTTCCATGAGTTTCTTTTGGTCTTCCCTCTCCTCCCATCCGCTCATTTTCCACACAGCAGTCATAGTATCTTCCTAAAGCACAACCAGGCACATCATTCCCAGGCTCAAGGCTCTTTGAGGCTTCTCACTGCCTCAGAATTAAGTCCAGACTCTGGCTGGCCCACTGACAGTTCATTTACCACACTGAGCCTCCATACCTTTGCTTCCCATTCCTTCTACCAGACACACATCTTCACACCATCATTGAGACACCACTTAGTCCTTAAGCCTACAGACGTGTTCCCAAAGGGTTCGGTCCTTTCCTAGCCTTGGCCATACTAAATTGGTATCTCCACTAGACTACATGTTGCTGAAGAGATGGCTCCATGGTTAAGAGCATTGGCTGCTCTTGCAGAGGACCGGTGTTTGATTCCTAGTACCCACATGGTGGCTAACAACCATCTGTAACTCGAATTCCAGGGGAATCCAACACCCTCTTCTGACCTCTGTGGACATTGCATGACACAGGTATACTTAAGTACATGTAAGCAATACACTCGTACACATAAAATAAAAATTAAATATTCAGAAAACACGAAACACAAAATGGGGTCCTTTATAGTCTCTCTCCTTGGCATAATGTTTGGCACAAAAGTTCTTGAAATATGAATGGATAAAAAAAAACTAAGAGCCGAGCATGGTGGCGCACACCTTTAATCCCAGCACTCGGGAGGCAGAGGCAGGTGGATCTCTGTGAGTTCAAGGCCAGCCTGGTCTACATAGTGAGTTCCAGGACAGCTGGGGCTACAGGGAGACCCTGTCTAAAAAAGACCAAAAAAACATCAAGAAAGCTTAGGGCTGGAGAGATGGCTCAGAGGTTAAGAACACTGGCTGTTCTTGCAGAAGACCAGGGTTCGAATCCCAGCACCCACATGGCAGCTAACTGTCCATAACTCCAGTTCCAGGGGATCCAACAGCTCTTCTGTCCTCCGTGGGCATTGCATGACACGGGTGCACATGCAGGCAATACACGCATACACATAAAATAAAAATGATAAAATAAAAAACTAAGAAAGCTTAATTCAATGAATTGACAGATTCCAAAAGTAACAGGCCCTAAAAGTAGAAGTAGTCCTTCATGTCAATTTAGAACTTAAAGGGAAACACAATCCCTCAGTGTATACATCCCTATTAATGTGCCAAATGCTTATAGAAAAGTATGTTTGGGGGCTAGAGAAATGGTTCAGCAGTTAAGAACATACTCTCTTTTTTTTTTTTTTTTTTTTTTTTTTTTTTTGAGACAAGGTCTCCCTGTAGCCCCATCTGGCCTGGAACTCACTATATAGACCAGGCTGGCCTCAAACTCACAAAGATCTGCCTGCCTCTGCCTCCCGAGTGTTGGGATTAAAGGGGTGCACCACTATGCCTGGACTGAACATACTGCTCTTACAGAGGTCCTATGTTTGGTTTCCAGCACCCACAGGTGGCAGCTCACAATGGCCTATAACTCCAGGTCTAGGGGATTCAATGCCATTTTCTGGCCTCCACAGACATCTGCATATAGCCCCACAGAAATACATATACATATAATTAAAAATGAAGACAGGACATGGTGACACATGTCTTTAATCCTTGATATATGTGAGTTCAAGGCCAGCGTGGTCTACATAGCACATTTCAGGCCAGTCAGGGCTACATACCAAGATCATGTCTCAGAATTATTATATTGCCACTGGAGAAATGGTTCAACAGTTAAGAGCACTTGCTGTTCTTGCAGAGGATCTAAGTTCAGTTCTCAACACCCCCATTGGGTGGCTCATCGCCAACTGTAACTCCAGCTCCAGGGAACTGACACCCTCATCTAGTCTTTGAGAACACCCACATATGCAAGGCATATACTCACACACACAAAGACAGACACAAACATACACAAAATTTTTTAATCATTAGAAAATACATAAATTTTTCAAAAAAGTTAATATTTTAATTTTGTGTGTATGAGTGTACTGCCTGCATGTATGTATATACATTCATGTCATGCATTTCCCGTGGAGGCCAGAAGAGGGCATCAGTCTCCTGGAACTGGAGTTATGGACAGCCACCATTTGAGTGCTGGGAATCGAACCCAGGTCCTCTACAAGAGAAGCCAGTACTCTTATCTGCTGAACCATCTCTCCAGTCCCCCAAAAAATAAGGAAAAAAAATTTTTAGATCTTTTTAAAAAGTATATTTATCCAGGTGTGGTGGTGCACACCTATAATCTGAGTACTTGGGAGGTTAAGGTATATTGACTACCAGGCCAGTCTGGGCTACATAAAGACTCAGGAGGGGAAGAAAAAAAAGCTGGATATGTCAGTACACTCCTTTAATCCCAGCACCAAAGAGGAGAGGAAGAGTCAGGCAGACCTCAAGTTTGAAGCCAACCTAGTCTACATAGCAAGTTCCAGGCAAGCTAGGGATACACGGTAAGTCCTTGTCTAAAGTCTTAAAAATGAAAGAGTATAAGGTGTGTTTAACCTTCATAGTAACCAGACTGACCTGGAACTCAAGATCCTTCTGCCTCAGGCTTCCCAGTGCTGGGATTACAGGTGTATGCCACCATGCCCAGCATCTTCTACAGAGAAATTAGTGCCAATAATAAACAGGAAAGACAAAATGCAAACTAAGTGTACATGAATTTAAAGCCCAGAGACTTTTACACTACCCCTTGCCCAGGCACAGAATAGAACACACCCAGCTGCATGTAGATGCATTCTCCCAACCGTTACCTGTTGGCCTGTACCATGCTGGCCGGTGAGACCATAAGCTCCTTGGGAGGAGTGTCAGGAGGTATCCCTCGCTTCACCAGAGCTAACACATTCACTGTTGGGGGCAGCCAGCTAGATGGTCTCCTGAAGGGAAGGACATATGTCACTTAAGTCACCCCCTCTACAAAAAGAACCTAAGAATTCCAGAGTTAAGAGGGAGAAGAGGTTGAAAGCCTAGACTGTAAAGTCAGGAATTGGTCACAGCTGAGTGTAGGGTGGCAGGTAAAGGACACAGGTAAGTAAGTACCTTTAGGGTGATTAGGGAGATAACAAAGTTTTACAACACCAACAGTAAGAAGAAGCCTATGGAGCTAGCAGGGTCTACACAGACTTAGAGTCACTAGAGAATACTTGATATCACTAAAGGACCACTGACTGGGTCAAGCTCTAGAATGGGCCAGGATTTTTTTTTTCTTTTCTAAAGGGCCAGATAAATATTTTCAGCTCTAAGGGTCAAGAAGTAAAATCAGGGACATTATGTAGCCATTAAAATGTAACCAAGCATGGTGGCATACAGGCCTTCAATCCCAGCACTCAGGAGGCATAAGGGTAGATCTCTATGAGTTCGAGGCCAGCCTGCTCTACATAGCAAGTTTCAGGACAGCTGGAGGTACATAGTGAGACCCGGTCTCAAAACAACAATAACAAATGTAACTAGGGGCTGGAGAGATGACTCAATAGTTAAGAGCACTGGGTGCTCTTACTGAGGACCCAGGTTTGATTCCCAGCACCCACATGGCGGCTAACAACCATCTGTAGTAATTCCAGTTCCAGGGGAATCTGACACCCTCTTCTGATCTCCGCAGGCAATGCACAACATAGATGCACTTACATACAGGCAATACACTCATAAAATAAAAAAACATGGAATGGAACATAGCAATTCCATCCCATAGCTATAAAAACTAACCCTATACATATTCTTATCTGAAGGATCATAAATGACTTGAGTTTCAAATGAGGGAACTCAGAGAGCAAGTCATAAGTTCATAGAAAGGACAAGGTATGGTATGTATAGGTATACATACCTGGACTTGAAGGCTCCACTCTCCATTTCCAGGGGGCCCCCAGGCACACCAAATAACCGCCCCAGCCACATGCCTCTGCCAGGCGTCGTTTGCTCTGTGTTTGGGGATATCTCCTGTGCACCCTCAGCTGCAGTTCCTTGACGCTTGGATCCCCACCGGAGAAGAGGGAAGCCCTCAGTGCCCCCTGAAGCATAGACCCGGGATGCCTGGGTCAGCTGATCCCACCAGCTGCCTGGTGGAGGAGGATTTGGGGATGCTGAAGGATATGGAGTGGCCTCCCCTGAAGCCCCCCGGAGACTCTGAGCCAACCTGCCCCCCCAGTGCAGCATGGCTTGCACAGTCTGCTGGAGCGCAGGAGGGGGACCTGAAGGGGCCGGGGCCTGTGGGAGGCCCAGGGGCAAGTGGTGGTGGTGCTCAAAGAGCAAGTCCAGGTGGAAGGTGAGCACCGACAGTGGTTGTAGCAGGAGCAGCAGCTCTGTGGACAAGGATGGACAGCTACCACATGCCAAGGAGAAGAATCCCGTGGGCAGATACAAGAGGGACAGTAGGCCTGGAAAAGAGCAGCCAACATCAGCCCCTCCACTGGACTCTAGCCCAGAGGACCTCCTGCACCAATCCCAGTTAACAAACATTCTCCTAGGCCTCACTCTGTGTGAGGCACTGGGGCAGGAAGAGGAAGGAGTAGATGGGCTACAGGAATGACAGACACCTTTCTGCCCCAGTGGAACCACTGCCTCAAGAGGGAGATACATGTAGAGTACATGTTAACTTAGAAGCAGGACAAAGGCCAGAAAGGGAAAGGACCAAGGAAGGACCTGGGAATACACAAGGGGTGAGGGTTGGCCTGTCAGAGTAGAACTGAAATCTCTCTGAGGGAGGACCCACAGGAGAAATGAAAATTAATGAGCAAGCAGGAAGCAAGGAGGCCAATGGAAGGAGCAGAGACAGCATTAGGCCCCAGGATATGGAGGTCCAGGCAGGAAGGTTGTCAGGAAGAACACCACATGGACCTCAAACAGGAAAAATGAGGGAACAGATAACCTAGGCTCTAAATCCTTCCTCCTATACACATGGGTGCCCCTAAAAGAGCTTTAAGTAGATGGGGTAATAAGATCAGAGGTCTGGATGTGTACTAACATCAGAACCAGCAGGTGAGATCCCATCCTCCTCTCCTTAGCCCAATAACCCCATCCCCTCCCATCTGAGCCTCTGACCTGCATCTTCCTGGAGACTGGAAAACCACAGTTCCAACTGTTTGGTGCTGGAGGAAAAAGGAGGGGGTGAATTCAGGGAGGAGGTGGGAAGTGAGGGATGAGATTGGGAGAGGGGAGGCCTCTGGGAACATAGGGCACCATTACTGTGCTCTGTCCATGATGCCCCAGTGATCCTAAGGCCAGAGGGGCATTGGATAGAAAGCTACTCACTTGAGTAGGCCCAGGATGAAGGCATGGAACCGGCTGCGGCTGCTACTCAGCGGGGCCAGACGGCTGACCTGGCTATACAGGGATCCTAGAGAACTCGTGCAGGAGCCTGAGGACAGGGGGTGATGTCAGCCAGGCCCTGGCCCTGCTCCCATGGGATCCTACTCCCTCACCTCTCACCTGGCTTCACAGAGGCCTCCACCACGCTCCAAGGGCTGCTCTTGCGTTGCCCAGTGATTAGGTCCTTACGGAAAGGCTTCAGTCCGTCGGCCACCAGGGCATGGAGGGCCGGGCAGAGGGTGGTCAGCACCAGCTGCCCCAAATCCGGGCTCAGCCGGCTATCCCCCAACTGGGCCTGAAGGGAACGCAATCAATGCAAGCAGGTCCAGAGACACGTCCAGTCATTGCTTGCTAAGTGTTCCTGCCACCACCCCCCACCCCACCCCCAAGCTGTATTAAATCTCCCAACATCCTCCCACAAGCCAAACTCACCTTCTGTACCAAGTTCCGGGCAGCCCCAAAATGTGAGATGATTTTATCCACTGAGGCGCTGACGGCTATCAGGAGACCTGGGATGGAGGGGTGGGGGTGGGGGCAAGAGAAGGAAGACATATTAAAGTCCTAGGTCACTACCCGGGTATAGCCAAGGACAGTAGCGGGCTGATCAAAGTAATTTGACCCTCAAAGCCTGGGGTGCGCCGTGGTGACGGGCAGTTCATTCGGAAGCCAGGTGGCAGGAGGCAGGGTGAACTACCTTTCTTCTGCTCCTGCAGCTGGCCAGTCCCACTCCGGGCTTCTGCCATCCACAGCCGCTGGGCCCCGGAAACACCGGCGAATGACCAGGAACTACGTACTAAGTAAAGGAAGAAGGACGCAATGACGCTTACTCACCAAGGGTTACCCGGAGGACGCCAGGTCATCTCTGGCGGGTTTGTGAAGCTTGGGGAGAAAGGGAATACAGTCACACGGAGCTTGGAGCGAAGAGCAGTTTTGCACACATCCCAGCACTCGCCGCCCCCGACCTCGGTTCCCATTTCCCGTCTTCCTATCCCGGAAGTCAGGGAGCCATGCCCCCTCGCCCGACCAGCTGGGCGTTGAAGGAAGGAGATGACCGAGCAGGGACCTGGATAGCACCCGGACTCCAACTTCCTCACGACCCAGGGAGCGCGTGGGCGCTCGGACCAATGGAAAGACAGCAGGAAAGGGAGGCGAGATTGGGGAGGTAAGAAAGACCCAAGGACTGGGAGGCTGGAAGGCACCGGAAGTGGGAAACCCGGGTCCAGCACCAGCTTGTCAGTGCAAGGCCTTTACCATACGAGAGGCGGGACTCCTGGGAGGCGTAGCCAGAACCTCCAGGGCCAATGAGTTCCAGGGAACTTCACCCTCCATTCTCCCAGCCAGGGTAGAGTCAGTCCGAACTACCCTAGCTGCGCATTATCTTTAGGAATTCTACAGAGGGTGTGATCGAAGGTCCCTAACACTGGGCTCGCTAAGACCCCTTAGACTGTCTGGAAGCTGGGTGTACCCGCATCTACCCATGTCCAAGGGGCCTGCAGCGATGAGAGCAGCAGTGCTCCCACCTCTACAACGAGGAGTAAAGCTAGATTCCCCAGGGCTAATGCTAGGAATCTGCCCCACTTCAAGGGTGAGACCTAGCCAGGCACCTTAGAAAAAAGCTAAAACAAGTGCTGGCCCAGGGCGGGAGGGGCGGCTCGCCCGAGGCATGGCCCACGGGGCTTGCCCGGGTCCGTCTTACGTAGCCTGGGCGGAGGTGGTGGCCTTCTGGTCCAGCGAGGGGCCTTCGGCGGACGAGGTGGTGGTGGCCGCGGGGGGACGGGAACCTGGCGGGGAGGGGGAGCCGCGGCGGGGAACGTGCTACTTCTGGGAAAGAGCGGGGAGAGCAGCAGGGCCAGCTCAGGGCTGGCCAGGCAAGGCAAGGTCCCCCGAGTCGGAGGCGAATAGGCTCCCACTGGGGACAGGCGGACAGGCAGCAGCTGTTCCTCTGGGGGACTCGGTGCCCCCAGCAGCCGCAACCCTGAGCTGGGCCACTCTCCTACAGGCGTCAATAGCAGGGACCCAGGTGAGCCTGCGCCCCCACCCTCCAACAGGGGGCGCCCGTCGGCCGAGAACCGGAAAACCAGGGGCCGAGGGAGCAGCAGGGGACCGGCTGCAGGCGGGTGGGAGGGGCCAGATGCGGGACGGGGGCGGGCGGTAGCGGGACCGGCAGCCAGGCAAGGAGGGGCGGGAGAAAGAGGGAGCAAAGAGTTAGTCCCGCGGCTCAAAGGCCCACCCTGTTTCCCTTTCCCGGAGCGCTCCCTGGCAAAGAGGGCGGGAAGGATAGACCACACAGAAAGGAAGGGATTCGGGGCGGGGTCGGAAGCTGTCGGAGGCGTGAGCCAGGAGAAAGCCCAGCCCTCCTCCTGCTGGGTCTTCCGCTTCTTACCCTCCACGCCCGCTTGCGCGCCGGGCTCTTCGGGCTCCTTCGCGGCTAGGGCATCCTCACCAGCCGAAGGACTCACTGCCCTGCCCTCCTCCGGCTGCCCCTCTGTTATGGGCTGCAGCCCAAGCCGATTCTTCTTCCTCCGGGGAGGGACGGGTGGGGGAGGGGGTCGAGGCGGGACTAAAGCCCAGCCCACTGGAGGGTCTCGAGGCGGGACTGGCGGGGGCGGGGCTCGGCTTCGGGACCGGAGTTCCTTGAAGGTGGTGACTTCTCGGGGAGGTACCAGAGAACCTCCCAGGGACACAGTCGGGGGGAGCTCAGTGTCTGGCGAGAAGACTATGAGCCAGTCGCTGCGATCTTTCTTGGCCTGTGGCACAAGGGGCAGCCCTGGGCCCCGCTTGCGCTTCTGGGCCAGCTCGTGGAAAGACGTGATTGTCCGGTGGGGCACCGGCTCCTGGTTGACGTCATCTCTCCATCCCCCATCAATTTTCCCTGCGTCTATTCTCGAGCCAGAATCAGTGTTAGTGTTCAAACGAGAGTCGAATTTCCCAGGTTCCGTCTTCCAGCTCGAGTTAGTATTTCCGTTGGTTTTCCATTCAGCTTCAGTTTTCTCTGTGTCAATTTTCCAAATGGGGTTAATTTTCCAACTAGGCTCTGTTTTCCCAGCGTCGATTTTCCCATCCTCCGCCTCCGAGAGCTCAGAGGTAGCGAGATCTTGCTCCCGACTGTCTTCCTCTTCCTCCAGGCCTAGGGAAGGTAGGTCCTGGCAGGTGGTCAGGGCATTGCAGTTCGAGTCCAGGCCAGGGCCAGGTGGGGAAGAAGCTACGGAGCAGGAATCAGGAGAGCAGCAGAAACTGTCCGGAGAGCAGGTACCAGGACCTGCTGAAGCCAGTGATGAGCCCCGCTCCAGAGGGAAGATGCTGGGTTGAGGGTGCACATCCTCAGCACCAGGCAGGTCCCGAGAGTAGACTGAGACCGGGGACTCATCAGGGCTCAGATCTGAGCAGGAGCTGAGAGAGGAGGAACATCCGGGATCCGAAGGCGAGGCTGCCCCATCCTCCTCCTGGGAGGAGTCCTGCGGGATTTCTAAGCTGGGCTCGTGCTCCTGGCAGCATCGGCAGGGCACAGCTGGACTGTTGGAGTTGGCGTCCACCAGGGGCCCGCTGCAGGGGCCCCTGCTCTCCTTGCCCCCTGTGTCTCTGGGAGGAGGGGATGTGCTCAGAGGCCCCTCCCTTAGCTCAGGACGGCGGGACAAGTGCAGGCCTAGGGAGACATGCTGGAGGTGGATGTGATTGAGGTTGCAGAGCAAAGCCCTCTGAGGGGACAGCATGGTGCCAAGGGTGACGGGAAGGCTTCCAGAGAACCAGGTGGATTCGGCCTCTGGCATCCACCTACCTGGCAATGCAGATGCAGACCTAGAAGACAAGGGCGGTTGAAACCCAGCCAATGAGAGCGCCGGCCGCGGGAAGGACACGGAGGTGACTGAGGACTAGAGCAGGCCTGGGAAGGCTCTGGCTGCTTTGGAAAATATTTAAATGAGATGCAGATCGCCATGGACAGGCCATTAGTTTTTCCACTGCAGTGTTTGCAGGAGGAGTCGCTTGTAACCCCCCGGGGAAAGAGAAGGGCGGGTCCAGAGAATGCGGCTGCGCTCTGCATCTTCGCAGAGTTGCGGAGCTTGGAAGAGGACGGGGCCCAGAACAGCCCTGGATCCTTTCAAATCTGTCTCTGCCCTCCAGCCTACACCTCCCAGGTGCTCTGAAATGAGGTGGATGGTGGGGAGCAACCACTAGCAGGATTTGGCTAGTGAATGCTGGAGAAGGGTCAGGGCTGGAGTCTGAGAAGGCTTTCATCTTGACAGCTCCGCACCTGCAGGACCCCTCACCATCTCCGCCCAATTCCAGCCCGCAGCCTCACCGGCTCCCCAGAGAGGTCTGTCACTCTCATCGCCATCCATCACCCACCCCTTCTCTATTCATTTTTACAGACCTCTTCCGGCGCCCCCATCCATTCCTGCACCTCTCCCCGCCCGCCCCCCGCGAGGACCAAGCCCTCCTTACCAGTCCTGAAATCGCTCTGGCCTTGGGCTAGTCTGTCGTCCCCGCCCAGCGGGAAAGAGGGGAGGGGCACCGGCAAAACCCACTCTAGCTGCGCAGCCGCACCCCTTCACACTTGAGCGTAGCTTGACTCAGGCCCGCCCACGCCGTTCTTGACGCTGTGCCTACGTCACCCCACCCACCTAAACCTAGCAAATGCAACTTCGCAGATTTGGGTCTCAGGACTCCTGTGCCACTTCTCACACACCCCCACCCCACCCCCGCCCATTCTGGACAGAGCTGGGCTCCTGACTGGAGCAAGAACAAAACCACAGGAAGATCGTAGATTGTATAATAATTTATTGAGCACCCTCCCTCCTGGCCCTTGCAATCTCTAAGTCACTTTCTTCGCTTGTAGATCTTTTTGGTTAGGTCTAAGAAGATGGACGGGGGCAGGGGTGCGGCATTTTGCTGGATAAGACTCTGAATGCGGATGTAACTGTCTTCCTCGTGCTTCTGGAACACAGCTGGCAGATCCAGCTCCTCGTACAGGGCTTTCACCCGCGCCACTTTCTCCAGGTCCTTCTGCCCATAGTTCTCCTGGAAGCAGTTGGAGGCAGGAAAACAGGCTTTACTTAGCTAGGTCCAAAGGACCCTACCAGATTCCAAAATATCCCAAAACCATTCACTCCATCCCTGCCTCCAACTTGTTTTTTAGTTTTAAAATGGAATTTCATTATGGAAAGTTATGATTATCCTGCCTTGGCCTCCCGAGTGCCCTATGCTCTCCTGCCTCCACTTTTCACATGTTTCTGAGGATCTAAGATGCCAAGCTTCACCTCTCCCACCCCAAATGTTCCAGTATTTGTTCAGGACTCCACTTTCTCTACTCAGGTTTCTCTGACTCTACACTGTTGAAATTGAGGCCATATAACCGTTTTGGAGAGCCATCTGTGCACTGCACGGGTTGTCTGGCACCCTTGTGGCCTCTGCCTGCTAGCCGTTATTAGCATATACACCATTCTGCCGTTGCCAAATGTCCCCTAGAGGGCAAAATCGCTTTGCCCTGACTGAGAACCCCTACACTACCTACCCTCTTAGCAAAGGACACCCCAACCCCCAGCCCAGTCTTGGGCACCTCTAAGATCTGGCGCTGTTGTGGAGTGGCTCGTTGCAGACACTGAACCACCAGCCAGCTGCATTTGTTGTCCTGAATGTCAGTGCCAACCTTTCCAGTGACACTGGGGTCCCCAAAGAGGTCAAGGTAATCATCCTGGACAGGGGCATAAAAGATGGGATGAAGAAGCTCCATAGCAAGGGGAGGGGAAAAGTCCCCTCCTGTTGCTGGTTGGCTTCCCTACCTGGATCTGAAAGAACTCGCCCATCTCCAGCAGGATCTTCATGGCATTGGCATGTTCCTTCTCCCCATCAATGCCAGCCTGGAAGGAGAAGGGTAAGGAAACCATACCCCACAGGCAGCTTGCCCTTCCTAATGCTTCCCTTGCTCACTCACTGCAGTATCCAAGTCAGTCAAGACACCTGAGCTCCAGATCTAGGAAGTCTGGCACAACAGCCTAACCTCCAGCCACTTATGTTCAACCTAGGACTTCCGGGAAGCACAATAAATCTGTTCTGGAGGCCCTCACATCACCCAAGTCTGAGTCTCAGCCACTGCTTCCATTCCCAAAATTTTCTGCCTCCTCCAACATTTTACAGAATGAAAAGAAACTTTTCAAGTTTAGGGTAGTCAATCCCAACTACCTTTGAACCCAGTCTTCTGGCCTGATCCTGCTCAGATGTGGCATTCGCTGTTCCCATTATGCACCAGACACTCATAGGCCTGACTGTTCAGCCCTATCCTATCCCCATCTTACAGCTGAAGAAACAAACTCAGAGAGATTAAGTGGCTTACTTGAGGGCATATATTCACACAATGAAATGTACCAGACTGTCCAAGCTGTGCCTTCCTGTCTCAAAGCCCATATAACAGTGAGGGGGCCAGGAGGGAAGACAACCCTGACTCACCATGTACATAGCAGCAGCAATGGGCAGGTAGAAGGAATAGAAAGTTGTCTTGTACTTAACAATAGATTTATACCTGAGTCAGGGGAGAAGAGACATTCAGAAGGGCAAGGCCCATCCACAACCCCCATAGTCCAGACATGTTACTACAGGCCCTCACCTCTTTTCAGTGTATCTACCAAGATCCACATGGCCCTGGGGTGCTGTGATGAGATCCAGGGTCTGCCCAATCTCAGTCCGATAGGAACTCTAGGGAGGAAGATAACGAGTGGTCTCTGAGTAGGCTTTCTCCAGAAATGGGAAATACTGACACCCTGGGCCTCACATCCCATAGCAGTTGAGAAATGGGCACAATCAGAAAAGCAGAGGGGAAGAAAGCAGAGGCTCACAGTCATGCACAGCCTTTCCTAAGAGCACACAGAGCTCTTTCTGGCATTACCCCCACCCTTCCCAGGCAACCCTGGCATCTCCTTTGCCCCTAAACCAGTAGATGAACATGTGCTAGAGCCCATGGTTACTGTGGGCAGCCCCTAGGCTGGGCTTGGGCTGCTGTGCACCTGCAAGAAAAGTTCAATTAGGTTCAGGTAGTAGGGCTGCTCCCGGCAGTAGAACTTGAGCAGGCGGTAGAGACAGGCTTCCAGAAGCAGAGCATCGTTGACGGCATCCAAACCAATGCCTGGCTGTTAGGAACACAGGGAAGCAATTGATCATATGTCATACCAAGAACCATCACACCTCAACCACCTCCCTGGAACCTGTCCACCATGCCCATCACTACCTTTCACTACATTCATTACCTTCTGATACCAACAGATCTTCCCCCGGCGAGTGAGAGAAGAATCCATGATATCATCTGACACAAGGAAGAAAGCTTGGAGCTAGAAGGAAGAGTAGAGTAAGATCCCAGGGCTCTTCTGGCAGCCACTGTGCACTGAGATGGTCAGAGGGGAGGCTAAATACTTCAGTTCCCAAACCTGACAAGCTACATGACCTCCAAGTCTGATCCCTGTCTGTAAAATGTACTAAAGCACTCATTTTCAGGCTAGTAGCCTGAAACAGACCTTTGCCACTTGTAATCTAGGATATCCTGGAGAGCAGGGAAATGGCATAATACCTTTGTGTAGTGTACATACTCTTGCCAAAAACTTCACTTTGTTCCAGTGTGGTAGTAGGTTTCTTGTTTTTTTTTTTTAAATACCCATGAGATTTGGTGACATGCACCTTTAAACCCAGAACACAGGAGGCAGAGGCAAATGGATCTCTGTGAGTTGGAGGCCAACCTGATCTATATAGCAAATGCCGGGCCACTAGGGCTATAGAGATAGACTGTCTCCAAAAAAAATAAAAATAAAAAAATAATTAAACACACACAAAAAAAACTCTATTGGGAAGCACTTCCCTAACCCAGGGCAGAGCATATGAATCCTCCAGAGTCCCCACAGCTTTCACTTCTACCCCTTCTGAGGAGAGGCCCAGGGATGGGATAATGTCAGCTGTGTGCAAAGGGTTCCCTAAACCCTAGAGTTCACACTGCCAGCAGTTTATCAACAGCAACAGCTTGCTGGAGCACTCTAGGCTCAACAATAGTTTTTGTTTTGATTTTTTTTTCAACAGAGTCAAACTCTCTGTGTGGCTAAAAATAGCCCTGAACTTCTGCTCTGACCTCCACTTCCCAAGTGCTAGGATGATGATGGTGCCACCATGCCTGGTTCTATGCAATGCTGGGGATCAAACCTGGGACTTCATGCATGCTAGACAAGTACTCTACAAAATGAGCTCCATCCCTAGCCCTTAAATACTTGTAATAGCAAACTGCTGTGTTACCCTTTGAGTGCCAACCACTAGAACTCAACTTGGAGTCCAGGATGTACTGCCTCTTGGCATTCCTAGAGCTTAGCACAGCACCAACCTCAAAGTGGGCGCTTCCTAAGTGTTTGTCTATTAGGGAAATGGAAGAATAAAACACTATTATTATTTTTTTATTTTATTTTATTTTATATATGTGTTTTGCCTACATATATGTAAGTGTACCACATGCATGCAATGCCCTGTAGAGGCCAGAAGAGGGTGTTGGATCCCCTGTAATTGGAGTTTAAGATGGTTGTTACTGCATGTGGGTGCTGGGAATTGAACGTGGGTCCTCTAGAAGAGCAGCCAGTACTCTTAAGCTGCTGAGCCATCTCTCCATCCCTAAAAATTTATTTATTTTTAATTTATGTTGCCTGCACGTAGGTAAGTGCACCATGTTGTGCAATGCCTACAGGAGACAGAAGAGGCTGTCAGATCCCCTGGAACTGGAGTTATGGACAGTTGTTAGCTGCCATGTAGGTGCTGGGATTTGAATATGGGTCTTCTGTGAGAACAACCAGTGTCCTTAACCGCTGAGCCATCTCTCCAGCCTCCATGAATGAAACACTCTTAACCACCACCGTAGCGCTTTTGTTTTTTGTTTCCTTGAGATAGGGTCTCACTATGTAAGCCAGGCTGGCCTCAATCTCAAGGTGCTCTTGAATCAGCCTCCTGAATACTGGACTTAACAGACCACACCCACTTCTCATAGATAGGCTACATATTTGTTAAGCAATTTTTCAAGACATGGGAATTTTTTGTTACTGGGCTATTTGGTTAAGTTTTTGTTGTTTCACAGTGCTGGAGATGGAACCAAGGGTTTCATACACACTAAGAAAGGATTTACCACTGAACTGTGCTCCCCATTGCCAAAAATTTTTTTTTTTAATTTTAAAAAATTAACTTATTTTTATTTGTACAAGTGTTTTGCTTGCCTATACTGGTATGTGTACAGTGCTCTCAAGGTTGGCATAGGAGATAGAGCCACCATGTGGGCACTAGGAATCAAACCCAGGTCCTCTGAAAGAATACCAAGTGCTCTAACCCCTGAACTACCTCTCCAGCTCCTTGTTTTTGTCTTTTATTACTGTATATGATATATGTGTGGGCAAGCACAGGTCATAGGACAACTTCATGTAATCAGTTCTCTCCTTTCACTTTTCAATATTTCAGGGATTGAACGCAAGTCATCACAAGCTGATCATTAAAAAAAAAAAAAAATGTAAGGTGCTGAAAGATGGCTCCTTGGTTAAGAGCACTCGCTGCTCTTGCTTAGGACCAGAATTCAGTTCCCAGCACCCACGTGGCAGCTAAGTCTACATTTCAGAGGATCTGATTCCCTGTTCTGGCCTCCTCAGGCACCAGACAGACATGTGGTGGTACACATACATATATGTAGGCATTCATATTTACACATAAGATAAAAATAAATAAATCTTGGGGCTAAAGAGGTGGCTCAGCAGTTCTTAGGAATGCAAACTGTTCTTGTAAAGGACCCTAGTTCAATTCCTAGAACCCACATTAGGAGGCCCACATCCACTCCATTTCCAGGAGATCCAATGCCTCTGGCCTAGGTGGGAGGCAGTGGTATATACCCACACAGACCCCACACACACATACACCTAACTAAAAATAATAAAATAAGGCTCTAAAGATGGCTCTGTGGTTGAAAAGACTTTCTGCTCCTCCAGAAGACCTGGGTTTGGTTCCTAGAACCCACATGGCAGCTTACACCTGTCTTTAATTCCAGTTCCAGGGGATCCAATCTAGCTTCCAAAGCACCAGACATAGACATGGTACATAAATACATACACTCTGGCAAAACACTCATACACATAAAATAAAAAATTAATAAATAAATAAAAAAAGCCAGGTGTGGTGGTGCATGCCTTTAATTCCAGCACTCAGGAGGCAGAGGCAGGCCAATCTCTGTGAGATTGAGTCCAGCCTGGTCTACAGAGTGAGTTCCAGGCTAGCTGGAGCCATAGGGAGACGCTGTTTAAAAAAAAAAAAAGAAAAAGAAAAAAAAAAAAAAAAAAGAAAAAACCGGCTGGGCATGGTGGCACATACCTTTAGTCCCAGCACTCAGGAGGCAGAGACAGGCAGATCTCTGTGAGTTCAAGACCAGCCTGGTCCACACGGTGAGTTCCAGGCCAGCTTGGGGGTACAGGGAGACCCTATCTCAAAAAAAAAAACCAACCAGAAACAAAGGGCTGGGATGTAGCTTAGCATAGGCAAGGCCTTGGAATTCATCCCTAAACTTGCAAAAAATAAATAATACATAATATGTATGTATGTATGTATGTGTGTGTGTGTGTTTGAGACAGGGTCTCCCTGTAGCCACGGGTGGCCTAGAACTCACTATGTAGACCAGGTTGGCCTCAATCTTACAGAAACTTGCCTGCCTCTTTCTGCCTCCTAAGTGCTCGGACTAAAGGCATGTGCCACTACACCCAGCTAACTTTTTAGTTTTTATGTGTACGTGTGTGTACCTACTTATCTATAAGTGCACCACATGCATGTCTGACATCCACAGAGACCAGAAGGTAGCATCAGATCGCCTCAAACTGCAGTTACAGGCGGTTGTGAGCCACCTGAGGTGGGTGCCAGGAACCAAACCCAGGTCCTCTGCAAGAGCAGCAGTGTGCTTACCAGCTGAGCCATTGCTCCATCTCCATGTACATCATGTCTATAAACAAACATGATGCCAGAAATCTCAGTGTGTGTACATGTGCACGGATACACATTTGTATGTCTATGTGGAGGTTAATATGTATAAGTCAACATCAGATGTCTCCCATAATCACTCTCCACCTTATTTTCTGAGACAGGATCTCTCACTGAACCAGATCATACTGACTCAGCTAGGCTGGCTGAACAATAAGCTCCAGAAATCTGCCTGTCTCTACCCCAGCACTAGGTTCACAGGTATAACACAGCTGTGCCCAGATTTTATGTGGGTGGTAGGGCACTGAACAAGTCCTTATGCTTGCACAGCAAGTACTTAACTGACTGAGCTCTCCTCTCCCCAGACCTCATAAATCTGGTTTTTCTTTCTGTATTGTAATGTATACATTTGTGTGGGTGTTTGCAAAAGTATGTGCAAGTGTGCATGTACCTGTGGAGGTACACAGGTGTCTTCTATATTCTCCACCTTATTTTTTTGAGTCAAGGTCTCTTTACTGAACTTAAGAGTTTGTTGATTGGCTAGATTGGTTGGCCAGCAAGCTCTGGGGACTGCCTATCTCTGCAACCCAGCACTAGGGTTACAAGTACACATTGCCACACCTAGCTTTTGAGTGCAAGTAGTATATGTATGTGTATGTAAACGCACACTTCTCTGTGCACACGTGTGGAGGCCAGAGGATGATGTCAGGTGTCCTGTTCTACCACTTTCCCCCTATTCTTTTGAGACAAGGTCTCTCACTGAACCTAGAACTAGGCTGTCAGCAAGCCCCAACCAGCCTGCCTCTGGCCCCCTCCTCCAAGGCAGTGGGATTTCAGGTGCATACAACCACATCTGGCATTTTATGTAAGTTCTGGGATCTGAAATTAGCTCCTATGCTTATACAGCAAGTGTTCTTACCCATGGAGCATCTTACCAGCCCAGAGAATCTGGATTTTTTTTTTTTTGGTCTTTTTGAGACAGGGTCTCCCTGTAGGCCCAGCTGACCTGGAACTCACTATGTAAACCAGGCTGGCCTTGAACTCACAGAGATCCACCTGCCTCTGCCTCTGAGTGCTGGGATCAAAGGTGTGTACCACTACAACCAGCCAAATCTAGATTTTTTTTTTTTAGTGAAACACCTTGTTAAGTTTAAGATAAAACTTTCTGAAAACTCAGTGGGCTACCAGTTTCCATTTCTACTTCAGAATAATCTGGAATAGCAATGGCTGATTTATTGCTTTCCTCTGATCAGAGGAAAGGACTGACATCTCTCTGCCAAGTTCTAATGTACCTAGTGGCAAAAGATTCCCAACTGGTTAGCCCTTGAAGTAATTCACTCTGCTTAAATTTGACTGTGTTACAGAACATAATCACAACCAAGGACAAGTTTGGGATGCACTCTCCTCAACAAGGAACCTCTACTCTAGGAAATGCTTTCTCCTGCCCCGTCCCACCCTCTTACCAGTTCTACACACCAGCCCACAGTCAGGGCCCGCTGGAGACTATCAGCATCCTGTTTCCTTGGCTCTACCAGCTCCCGGAATGCTTGCAGCACAGTCAAACCCCGATTGTACTTGCCTCCTATGGCGTTGTACTCCAGGACCTGAGGCAGGCAAGAGGATGAGAGGATGTCAGGGTCTACACACCAGACTTTTTGAGACTTCTTCCCTTCTACTTTTTTTTTTGATCTTTTTGAGACAGGGTCTCCCTGTAGCCCTAGCTGTCCTGGAACTCTGTAGACCAGGCTGGCCTTGAACTCATAGAGATCCGTCTGCCTCTGCCTCCCAAGTGCTGGGATTAAAGGTGTGCGCCACCACGCCCGGCCCCTTCTCCTACTTTTAATCCCAGCCTCTCTTCTTGATTATTCCCTCTTGATTCCTTCCACAAAGTCCTATGGCATATAGCATGCTCTGTAATAATACTTATTCAATTTTGTACCCAAGCCCAGAACTCTGGGAAAACTCAGTACACACTACGGAGTGCCTCACCTCACCTGTCTACTCATCTCCTTCACCACCCATCTCTTCTTTCCTACAACCTCTTCCTACTAAAATTCAAGCTACCTGTAAATGCAAAGCCTGTATTACAGACAAGGGCCCTAGTTGGGATATAATCTCAGTATTCAGAAGGCTGGGAGAAGGTAAAGGTAAGGGGAGGGGGAGAAATGCCATGAGTTTGAATCCAGCCTGGTATAAATAGTGAGTTTCAGTCAGCCCAGGCTACAAAATGAGACCTTGTCTCAAAACAACAAAGTTGGTATCTGAGGAGAGCTTGGAAAGGGCCACTGACTAAGGCTAGGGATTCACCTCCAATCCATCTACAGGCATATCTTCCTGCTGGGGCCTCTCACTGTGCCTTCTGCAGTGTAGCAGACCTAATTAACTAAATAACCATTCAGTGTAGACAAAGGCCAACTCTCCCTCCACCCGAATTCCAGATCCAGGCATGGTGGCACTGTAATACAGGACAAGAATACACAGGAGACTGAGGCAGGATTATGAGTTTGAGGCCTCTTAGGCTATATAACAAAATGCCATCTCAAAAAAAGTAGATACTACAAGAGAATAAAAGGAAAAACAAGGGGCTGGAGAGATGGCTTGGCAGTCAAGAGCACCTACTGCTCTTGGAGAGGACCTAGGTTCAATTCCCAGCACCCACATGGTGGCTAATAACCGTCCACAACTCCAGTTCCAGGGGGAATCTAACACTCTCTTCTAACTTGGTGGGTATTGCATGACAGGGTTGCACTAACACACATACAGGCAATACACTCATACACATAAAATAATAACTATTTTTTTAAAAAAAGGAAAAACAAATTAGACACTCAAGTATTATTGCAATAGTTCCCTTCCTAGAACAGGGGTTTCTGATGATACAGTAACTGCACTCAGACATCAGGAAAATTGGAGTCTCTGGTAGCTAACAAAGTAATATATCACAATTTCAGAGCCAGGCGTGATGGCACACACTTTTAATCCCAGCACTTGGGAGGCAGAGGCAGGCGGATCTCTGTGAGTTCAAGGCCAGCCTGGTCTACAGAGTGAGTGAGTCCCAGGCCAGCTGCAGCCACAGGGAGACCCTGTCTCAAAAAAACAAAAAAAGACCATAAAAAAAATTTCAGGACATAAAATCAGACTCACCAGTTCAAGGCCTCTCTTTCCATGCCAAGCAGTTTGAGTAATTATTTGAAGTATAACTGCTCAGGCCCCACTCACTCCACAGGGGACCCAGAGCTTCTCAGCACCTCCTACATCATCCTCCTAAAAGTCACAGCAAACTCCTGCACACCCACTGGCTTCTTGAGACCAGCTCTCTCACCTCCTTGAGTCGGGTAATGGCATCTCCCGTCTCTTCTGTGCATTCCAGCTCATCCTCTGTCAGCACCTTGACAATCTGGGAAAAGTGCTGGATGAAATCCTGCAGATCTTGGGTACAAGCATCCAATTTCTGGTTTCCATTCATTCTGAGAGAGGAGCAAAATGCTCTAAAAGGAAAAAGGGGCAAATAAGAGGTCGGCTCAGGTGCTTCCCTCCCCGAGGCCACCCCAACCACACTCACCGAGGCTCCTCAGTCCACACTTGGCACCAGCAGCGGGCACTGTGCCGGGCCCCCAGGACTGGCCACCCATTTGCCAGGGAGGGCCGTTGTGAGGAACCAAGCCACCTCTCCCGGGGTGCCCAGCAGGGGGTTGGTAGCAGGAAGATCCCTACCGATCTCAGCCAACGGGACAGGGGCATCGTGGGTGGGTATGGGAGCTAAAAGTACCAGCACGCCCTGCTGGGGCAACCACCGAAGGCAGATCCTTGGTGTCAGTTCCCCGCTACCCCCAAACCACCTTTTTACTCTCTTGCTCAAAATTCCCACCCTGTTGCGGCTTAAACTCAAGGAGAATTAAGTACAGGATATACAGGGAACTTTATGTTAGGGTGACTGAGATCAACACTTTCACTCCAATTGAAACGGTTAAAACTGAAAGCTTTCTACTTTCAAAGTTAGGTCCACAAAGTTAGAGGAGGAGGCGGTACAGAGCAAAATACCCCAGGTACTAGGGAGTGGGAGAGCCTTAAAAGCACCCTTTTCTGGAGATGCCAAACTGAAGCTCCAGAAGTAGGACAGCTGAGCAGACGCAGAGCTAGAACTCAGGTCTCCCCTTGTTGGAAAGAGATGGGGGCTCAGGCTCTGAGCTGCGTTCAAGGCGAGGGGTGGAACCCATGAAAACTGCAAGTATGAAGTCCGGGGCCTCCCAGGGGCGCAGTGCTACCCACAGACGGCCTCTGAGCAACTCGGTGGCCCAGCAAGACTAGACCCGCGGCCCCGGGTACTGGGGTTTCAGGACTTCAAGTGCAGAATTTAGAAATTTCCGAAAGCACAGAGGACCACTCGGTCGGGCCACTGGCCCCCAAAACGAGTATCTCCGACAGCGGGTTTCCCGCGCCTTACAGTAGCAGCAGTGGAGAGGACAGGGCGCAGACTTGCGCCCTCCCCAGTGCAAACGCCTCTCACCTGTTCCTGGATGCGGATTCTCTCCGGGTCCAGATTGTTGGCGGGTTGCACTAAAAGTAGACGCGCTACGCGCTCGGCTCTCTGGGTCTAGTAGTTCCCGGGCTCTCCTCGCTCTAGGCAGAAGCTGCCCACTAGACTACAACTCCCAGTGTGCCACCAAAGAGGCAGGCAAAACGCGAGCTTGCGCAGCGGGTTGGGCGGGAATGAGCCTCGCTGATTGGCTGCTTGACCTCGTATGAGCATGGGCCTTGTGATGGATGACCAATGACAGCGCGGCCCACGGGCCATCAGTCCACCGACTGGTGGGCGGTGTCAGGTACCTGGCGATTCTGCGCAACGCGCACCCTGTGCCTCCTGGTCCTTGACAATCACTATTACTCTGTGTTGTACTCTTCATTATCTTCCTGTACGTCTACCTAGGCGACAATGTTAGTAAAACCCCATAAGAATTAGCTTTGCCGCTTACTAGTTCACTCTAATGCAAATCTTTTGTTATATCTCTGATCCTAGCTGGATGTGGTGGTTCTTTCCACAATCCCAGCACTCAGAAGGCTGAGGTAGGAGGATCACGTGTTCACAGTTTGACTGAAGTAGTGAAATCCACAGTTAGAGCCTTCAGCCTTTCCCAGTTTACCAGCGCACCATGGTTTCAAAGATCGACTCTACTGCATATACTCCCAAATCCTCAGTCCATGTAATTTGACACATCAGGAAAGATGCCTAAATTACAAACCAACTAGGACATTAATGGATTCTGTTATCAAAGGAAATAAAATTCACTCTATAAACTTTCAGCACTACTGTTCAACATTGGACTAGAAGATATAGCAAAAGGAATTCTACAAGAAAAATGAAAAACAGGAAAACACGAAAGGAAGAAAAAAACAACCTGTTATCAGACATGGTTCTGTATAAAGTACACAAGAACATTACAACTAGTAAATAATGTGCAAACATAAGTTGTTTTCAACAAACAATACCAAAAAAAGGAATAAAGCAATTCTATTTATAATGGCACCTAGGGGGCTGGAGAGATGGCTCGGGTTAAGAACACTGTTCTTGCAGAAGACCAGGGTTCAAATCCCAGCACCCATATGGCAGCTAACAACTGTTGGTAACACCAGTTCCAGGAGATCTGAGAGTCTCTTCTGTCCTCTGAACTACACGGGTGCACTTACCTACATGCAGGCAATACAGGCATACACATAAAAATAATAAATAAAAATTTTAAAAAATAATAGCATCTAAATAGAATTGTAACAAGATTAACTAAAAATGTGAAGGATTTGTGTACTGGGGGAAAAAAATCCTTGATTTGGGCCAGTGAGATGGCTCAGCAGATAAAGGCACTGGCTGCCAAGCTTGAAGGCCTGAGTTCAATTCCTAGGAACTACGTGGTGGAGGGAGAGACCCAACTCTTTAGAATTGTCCCCTGACTCCCACTGTTGTGCCCAGTTTGTGAGACCCCAGAGACCACCAAGGAGCCGACTGATGCAAACACACAAGGGTTTTTTATTGTGACAAGCTTAAGCTTGGGCCTACTCTGTCACTGACTCAGCGGATCTCAGATGTGAGACCCCTTGCTTTGGGAGACAGAGGTTTTTCTAGGTTTATTTCAGCAAGTTCAGCAAATAGGGGAGTAGGGGGTCTTCAGCCTGGCAAGCATCTGATTGGTTGCAGCTCAGTGCCAAACCATAAACTGCTGGCTTCAGAAAATCTGAAAAGATATCTGGAGTTTTAGTACTTTCCTGTCCCTAGTTAATTGACCGTTGGCGGGGGAGTTGTTCTCTATCCATTCCAAGTATACTTTTTTTGGTGTGGTTTCTCCCAGAACAGGATTCAGAGCTGGATCAGTCCCATGGAGGTTTTATCCAAGATGGAGTCACTCAAGTCTCTCAGATACATTATGTAAAATAACTTCCATAAACACCAAAGAAGGCTAGGCATGGGGAAAGTCCCATTTAATCCCTGTCTCAAAAAATAAATAAATTAGCAAAAGATAAACTTCATTTAGGGATGCATATATTTTCAATACAGACATTTAAAGCCCAAACCAAACATATGTGTGTGTGTCTGTGTGTGTATGTGTATGTATATGTAATATGTAAAATAACTAGGTCCAATCAACTAGATTTCTATTTCTCTAACTTTTACGCCATTTACTATAATAAGGGTACCTAAACATTTAAATCAATTCTTCTAGCTTAGCCTAAAGTACCTACCTCTCTAGGGCTGGAGAGATGGTTCAGTGGTTAAGAGCACTGGCTGTTCTTACAGAGGACCTGGATTCAGTTCCCAGCATCCACATTGGTGGCTCACAACTGTCTATAACTCCAGTTCCAGGGAATCCAATGCCTTCTTCTGGCCTCTGCGGGCACCAGAAACATATATGTAGGCACTCACACATAGTATAAAATAAAATAACCAAATTTGTTGGGCATGATGATGCACACCTTTCATCCTAGCACTCAGGAGGCAGAGGTAGGTAGATCTCTGTGAGCTTCAGGCCAGCCTGGTATACATCCACACAGCAAGTTCCAGGTCAGCCAGGACTACAGATTGAGACCTTGTTTCCAAAAACAAAGCAAACAAACAAAACAACAACAACAAAAAAAAAACAGTAATTCATTCATCTACTCTTTGTTCCTTTTAGACGTAACGACTTTTAAATTAAAATATTTTTTAAAATTTATCTGTTTTTATTTTATGTGTATGAGTGTTTTCTCCCTGCAAGTATATAAGTGCATCTGTGTCATGGAAAGCCCACAGAGGCCAGAAGAGGATGTCGGATCCCCTGGAACTGGAGTTACAGATGGCTGTTAGCCAAGATTTGGGTGCTGAGAATTGAACCTGGGTCCTCTGGAAGAGGAGCCAGTGCTCTTAACTGATGATCCATCTTTCCAGCCCCAAAATTATTTAAATATTAACTATAATATCTGTTATATCAATGTCATATCAAATACTGAAGACAAAATAATTAATTACCAAGACACAGTGGTGCATGCCTTTAATCCCAGCACTTGGGAGGCAGAGGCAGGCGGATCTCTGAGATCGAGGCCAGCCTGGTTGACATAGGGAGTTCAGACCAGCTGGGTCTACAGGAAGACCCCGTCTCAAAAAACCAAACCAAAAAATAATTAAACTGGTTCATAATATGGCTATTAGATAATGTAATCTAGAAATTTCTTCCTTAGTGGCTTTTGGTAACCATTTCTATTTCCTGAAATCTGCCTTCCTTGTATCTCAGCCTCACCAGATTGATAAACTCCTAGCTACATGGGACATGAGCTCCTATATGTTGTAAGCAAAAGCTTCAAAGAAACTACATCTATGTTGGAACGTCAAGTTCACCTGCGTGGTTGCAACTTCAAGTGTGCCTTTAAGTGTGGAGAGTTAAAAAGCTACAGGTTAAATTTATATTGAACTATTTTAGCTTTTGTTTGTTTCTTTGTTTTGTTGGGGTTTTATTTGTTTTGTTTTGTTTTGTTTTGTTTTGTTTTGAGACAGCATCTCCCTGTAGCCCCAGCTGGCCTAGAACTCATTATGTAGACCAGACTGGCCTTGATCTCACAGACATCTGCTTGCCTCTGCTTCTGGAGTGCTAGAATTAAAGGTGTTTGCCACCACACCTGGCCCATAACATTTTTGTGACTAATTCTCAAAAACTGTCTATAGCAACCTAATTGACCTATCTTTACTCCCTGCCTTCCCCATAACCTCCTCTAAAGTAAAAAAATTCATCTTATGAGCATTCCCTCCTGATGCCTGTTCCATAATTCTCTCTCTCTCTCTCTCTTTTTTTTTTTTTTTTTGTTTTTTTTTTTTGTCTTTTTGAGACAGGGTCTCCCTGTAGCCTCAGCTGTCCGGAACTATGTGGACCAGGTTGGCCTCGAACTCACAGAGATCTGCCTGCCTCTGCCTCCCAAGTGCTGGGATTAAAGGCATGCACCACCACACCCAGCTCAACCATCATTGACTCTTACATTTACCCTCCACCCTTTCTCTCAACTCAAACACAAAATAGTTTCAAAACTCTTCATGGACTTCCTGACTTCTGTTGTGATTACTCCTTTAATAAGTATCTTGACTCTTACATCCATAGGCAGCCCCTCTGTAATCTGTATGGTGATCCAGTTCACCCCAAATACTATCCAGCACACTAATGGACCTAGTAACACCTTCCTGATACGGGAATTCAGTTACCAGCCTCTGCCCCAGAGACCAACACCTAATTATTCCTTAGATAAGGAGACCCCACTCTAATCCCACAATATCCAATTTCAGCTGGAAAGAAGTTAAGGACTGAGTCAACATCCACTGTTCTTGGGTCTCCTCCTCCCTTGTAAAATTATTCCTCTCTTGCTTAATATGTAAACAAAGGTAGAATGAATGTTAGCTCCAGCTGTACTCAGGCTTCCTTTCATGCTGCTGATAGGCTTCCTACTAGAACACTGTCCGAGCTAGAAGACTTGCTGGGACATTGTGTGTCCAAACTTGCTGGTGCCTCATCTCACCTAGAAGTGATTCAACAAGAAAGGAGTGCCATGTCCTGCTCACTATCCCATTCCCTGCCTGCTACATGGGACTCAGAGTCATGGCTGTGAAACTTCCCCATGCTCAAAGGTATAAGAAGAGCCAGGCATGATGGTAAATGCCGTAAATGCCTTTAATTACAGCACTTAGGAGGCAGAGGTAGGGAGATCTCTATGAGATCAAGACCAGCCTTGTCTACATAGGGAGTTCTAAGAGAACGAGGGAGAGAGAGAGAGGGACAGGGAGAGGGACAAGGCAAAGGAGAGGGAGAAGGAGAGGGGGACGGGGGCAGGGGGAGATGGGGAGGGAGAGAGACTCTGGTAAACTCTGACTCTCTTCTAATACTCCACAATGCTGTTTGTCTCTGGTGCTGAGCCCTGAACTCTCCTTGGAACATTGCCATGCT